TTAGTCCTCAGTTCACAGTAGTGTGTCTCAAAGTGTGTCCACACAGAGATCCTAGTTATGTGTCTCCTATCATTTCAGAACACACTTCACAGTAGTGTGTCTCCCAGTTTGTCAGTACTAAGCTCAAGGTTGTGTGTCTCCCAGTGATTTGTCAGCACTCTTTTCAGTATCATAAGCCTCAGCACCTGTTGGTCTTCTTCAATAAAACTTATGCTACTGTGTGTTTTTTTCTCCCAGTTCCACTTAACTGCAATTTCTCAGAAAGCTTGAGTGTTACCTAGAAAATCAGATCAATTTACAAATAAATGATGGAATTCACTCTACCTTTGACACTGTGTGCACTCGAGATGTTTATTTCTTTTATCAATATCTTTACAGCAAGTCTAAATATACATTTCCTTCAATATAAAGTAGAATATTAAGTGCCCATTCTCTGCATCCCTCTGCCTCCTCTTATCTTCACTCTCTCATTTCGACTAGTGGCCCCCTCACCCTCTCCTGCACACTGACTCCTCATGAAACTCCTTGCTGTGTCAGCAAATCCCTCAGCTCACATAGAATAATAACTTAATTGAAAGGATCTCATTGACATCTCTGTATTAATAATTGAATTATGTGATAATATACTTGTAATGTTGAATATACCACACCGTACAGTATATATTTTGCCTTTTTCATATTTTGCAGTGTTTTGAACATGAATCTACATCTACGATGAAGGTAGATAAAATCATCAAAGTATTGTCGCTTTTATCATGAGAAGGAGAAGTTACCTCTCCTGTCTTTCAAGGTCAAGGTCAATGCGGTGCTTTCTCAGATGTAAATGTATTATTCCTTACCACATTTATCAACAAAACCCAAAAGAAATGAAACATTTCCAAATTCTGCCTTTGACATAGTGCATTTTATTTTCACCTCTAGAGTACAGCAAACAATAAAATGTCTTAGAAAAAGCAACACTTCACAGATAAACACTAGTGATTAAACTAACACTCTGTACAAGCTTGCTGAGCTATTTTTCTGAGGGACAGGAGCTGCAGACATACAGGGGCTGAGTAGAGGGGTTCTCTATCCCTCTTCTCCTCAAGCTCCACAGGGGGGCCCCGAGCTCCAGTCCGGCGAAGGATGGACAGGGCCGTCTGGTGCGTCACACCGCGGTGCCTACACACTGACTCCTGCGGACACTGTAGGAGGTCGGCGAGTTGTCGTGGGTCACCGTGCACACGTACAACTCCTTGGCCTCCCACTCAGCCTTGCTCAGCTTCAGTGAGCTGCTGCGGCTGAACTTGCCGTCCCTCCCCTCCTCGGCGCTGGTCAGGACCCCGCTGGTCACTTTGGAGCCGTCCACCGTCCACTCCATGCTGGCCCCCTCAGAGAAGTAGCCGCTGAGCAGGCAGAGCAGCGTGGCCGAGCCAGCGGACAGCTCATTGGGGGACGGGGGGAACAGCGACACAGTGGGCTTCACGCTGGCGCCGGCCGGGAGACGGAGAGACAGAGCAGGGCAGAGAGTAAGGACTGGCGCCCAGTAGGAGACTAAATCTCGCTAACTTCGCACCAACTCGTGTCATACTTTGTAACTTGTAGAAGTACATTCACCGCCATAGTACTGTTAGACATTAAGGAAAAACAAGTAAACGTTCTTTCCTGACTGAAACGTAAAGAAAATAATTACTACATTGCGACTGTGGAGTTTTGGTCCCAATAGATGACAAAGCAGTGTTGATG